TCTTGCTCACTTAAATCCTTGTAATAACTTTGGTTTTTTCTTGTTTTTAATAGTATCTATATTTGACATTCACAAAACAAATATCTACTTCTCACCTCTTATGATAAGACAGTAGTTCTTTCTGTCCCACACTAATTAGCACAACTCTGTATTATAAAATAATTTCAATTTCAAATATAAAAAGAGGAGTGGTCAATTGGCAAAGGAATATGTGACTTGAGGATGTCCTGTCCTAATAATTTTCTAGTCTCTAAAACTAGTTTTGTTTTTTGGATTTTTTCTAGTTTCTTAAAAAAACTAACTAGTACAGGAATGGCCAGTCCAAAATATAAGTAGATCACAAGGTGATGTGGGTTATTTTAATCTATATGCAAGTTCACTATGAGAAATCAGAAAAAACAAGCAACAGTAACAGTGTTTAAGTACCTAAGCGATTATTTTGAATTCTATATTTGATATATGAACGTTATTTTCATAATTATAGAAAAAAGACAACATATTATTTCATATCTTAGCATATCCTAGCTTTGCAGGGAAGGGGAGCAAAGCTGAAAAACCTTAGGCTACAAACTCAGCCTCCAGCAAAAAAAACCTGCCACTGTCTTGCCAGAGTGGCCCTTGAGAAACCTGTAAATAAACATTTTTTTTTCTTATTGTACACAATATTTCCTTCCTTCCCTATTGCAATTTACATTACATACTTTTGACTGAAGGCAATAACAACTATACCAGGAAAAGAAACACATTTCAAAGGATGTCTAGATAGCAAGCTCTCGATGGTTGAAATCCTTCAAACAGCGTAACTTGCAAATGTAACCAACTTACCATACCATAAAGCAAACTCACTTAAATTATTAGTTGAAGTAAAGATATTTGGTAGCTTGTTGAAAATTTCTAGCAGCTAGCATTCCAGATGCAGTGAAAAAGTATTTTTGCCAGGATACCATAGCATATTTAGGTATTCTAACCTACTGATGAAACATCCTTACTTGCAAACATTTAATGAGATAGTTTTACGTGCTAAGTATGTACTTTATCCATAAATCAATCTTTAAATGAAATGTATGCATATGTAATAAAATGAAAGAAAGGAGTGTAAGAGAAACAAAGAAAAAGTGCAACAACAGCTGTTGCAAAACAGTCACATAGAAAACAGATGATATGCTGCCAGTAATTAACAGGTAGCAATTAGGTCAAGATTAGAAAAACAAGACAACCAGCAGGGCAGAACAACTCTGGATGGCCGCTAATTTACCAGGGAGGACTTCAGGAAGTAACTAACATATCTGTATAAAAGAGACAATTAAAATCCACTTTTAGGGCTCAGGTAAAGACTTATTTAAATATATTTATGTGTATATTCAGTGTAAGGAATAAATCAGCATTGCAAATCTCTGTTATCACAAATTTCCCTCTTCCTTTTTTATCTTAGGTCAGGCTACCATTTCTAAAACCTTCTTAAAGCATTAGCAGGCTCCTACTTCCTTTTTTTCACCTTTGATTTCTTTCTTATTTTTGCCAGCTGCTTCATTCATACCTCCTATACACTAAGGGCTCCCCCTGTACACAAATTCCCACAATGCAGTTGAGTAAAGAGTGTATGCAGGAGCTAAAAGAGGATATTTTCAGTCTGTCCAATGTTAGGTTTAAATATTTGTTGTCTAAAGTTGTTTTGCCAGTGCAAAACCATCAAAATGCCATCAAAACTGTAATCTTCCTGGCTGGCATAGGTCATGAGAGTAAGTTTGATGTAAGTAAGCTTTAAGTATCACAGTCAGAGTTAAACATCAAAGCTTAACAACATTTTCCAATGCAAAAATTATTTATTGCACTTTTTTCCCACATGACCTTTTCCAGAGTCAGTACCAGACAAGCTCCAAGTCGTGCTGTGCAAAATCTTAAGATGTTAGTACCCCACCAGTCTGTTCTTCCCAAAAAACAGTCAGCAAATGGGCAAAGCTGACTTAGTTTGGCTGCTTAGCATCAACCCACTGCCACTGGTGAGGTAAGCCCTTAGATTTCTTGCTGATGCAGCTGAGGTGCAGAAACATGTTCCCATTCTGTAGTGGGGACAGTAACCTCCCAGATGGAGAAGCCAGTTACGGACTCAAAATTGATGCCTCTAAAATCATTACAGGTCTTCTTTGATTGCCATAACAGAATTCCTCAAATCAGCAAAATGGTCTTGAAAAGAAATTTTTCAGACTGCATATCATCTTCCTAAAAAGCATATCCATTGACTTCCATTATTATATCACTTTGAAGTCAGTTGTATGATTCTCACAAAATGTCAAATGTGCAATGACTTGTCAGGCTTTATTTTAGGCATTTATCCCCTTTGGATTGAACAGGATATAATAGTAATAATGAAAGGAAAAACACAAGCTGTTTCTATCCCAGGATTTATCTCTGCTCAATTCAACCTTGTTTTGCTCTTCAGACAAAGTGATAACTTGAAGAGAAATGACCAGAGCTTTTTGGAGCACGGTAATGCCATCTCAAACAATCCTCTATCAGACCTTGGCATGCCCCCTCTCCTGTATTCTCTCCTGAATTCAGCAGGAGGCTTCCAATATGACAACTGATCTACTAGACTTCCTACTGAACAAGCCAGAGCTTTATATTGGATAAGCCACTTTAAAGGTAGCTGTGAGGAGCCTGCCAGCCATGAGCTGCATGCAGATGAAAGTGAATAATGCAACATGCAGCATGCAGCAATATTCTGCCAGTACTGATTCCATCTGCACAACAAATACTCATCATGTTCACACAGACGGCACCTGAATCAATTATAATCTTTCAAGAAGGGTAAAAACAAAGACCTACGTTTTCAAAGCAAATGTCACCAAAACAGTTAAAAAAGACAAAAGCCAGGTAAAAATATGAACAGAAAAGATCTCTTGATTGCTCTTCTCATTGTATACTGCATGGTGAGGGTTTTTTCTCCTGTTTGAAGGGTCAGAATAAAAAGTCTGAAGTAAAAACCATGTTTAAGTTTTCATCTTTGAAAGGATCTACTCTTGGAAAGAGAAGAGCTGAAAATATTTTAACACAACAGGATCAAACTAACAGTGCCACTCACTATCAGAAAGTAAAATACAGTTGAAGCATGCTATTTTCAAACTTTTTTACCCTAAAGAATAATGAGCTTTCTAGTGAAGCTAGGGAAAGCTAGCTTCCACAGAAACCACTCATTTCTGCTGCGGAAAAATAATGCCCACTTAAACACATTTGATAATTGAGACACAGAATGCACATACAAAGTATGCATTTTTCTATGCTCTCAGAGAAGAAAACATAGGTACAGAATGCACAAACATCTTAAACCTGCCAAATTAAAACAATGGGATACACCTGGAGTCTCACAATCTTTTATTACGTAGTATGCTAAGTGGTGTTGCAAACTGCTTATACCAAAAAAACCCAAAACCCCTATGTTTTATCTTCAAGCTTTCTTTTCCATTTACCTGCATCAATTAAAACAAGCAAGTAGACACATATACCACAACATAATTAAATAATAACTTTGTTCACACCTTCTACTCATCCCTTGCTCCCAAGGCAGTTTCTGTGCAGCCGATAGCACCCCCTTTGGCTCGTGGAATGAATTAAGAAGGTGCTCCTTCAAAGAAAACCAAAACCACATCCAGGTTAGTGGTTATTTGAAGGCCTTGTGACCCACCATGGTCATGTCCACCTCAGACTGAAAGAAAATGTGTTTTAATTGTGTTTAAATACTTTTAGTTGCTAATTTTATTCAGTGAGGAACTCAAGTAGTTGTTGTTTGAATGTACTATTTAGGCTGTCAATCAACATTATGCAATCCTAATCTAAGTAAAAGACACCAAAATATATATGTAATGTTCAGTTATTTTCACAGTAATTATGCATGAAGTTTACCAACTTCATGCAGACAGGGAAGGTATGAATGTCCTTTTCACAGTCTAATAAAAGGCTGCACAAAGTCAAATTTTAATACTACACTTAGTTATCGATGAAATGTTGCACTGCTATGAGAAAAAAACAGAAGTTAGACAAATTCAAACTATTGTCCACTGAACATTTCCTTCCTTTACAAAGACAATTTCAAGATGTTCAGATATGTCAAAAAAAGTCATACCAAAAATTCAAATAGTTGTTTTTCTCAGTTTCAGTGAGATATCTGGAGTCCATCAAATAGGATATAGCTGTGAATCATAGTCTTACAGCATGAAAAATAAAAAATCACAAATGCTGTTTTCCTCTGATCTTTGTTATATTTGCCTACACCTTTACAAAAGCCACAGAAATATGTGAAGTAATATGAATTCATGATGAGGGAGATGAGTGACTTTTGCTGTTCACAACTGCAGAAAACAGCAGTCTTTCCTCCCTATTCAGTGCCTCTCTGGAATGGAAAAATCTGTCTCTAATTTTCCATTTACCTTAAGTGGTAGATTAGAAAACATTCCCAAGTGGAATTGTAAATCTTTGACTGCACTCCTTAAAAAGCAAAGACTTTTGCTTTCTTTCAAAAATGAGTTACCCAAGCCTATAGTGAAGAAAACTGATTTTGCCACAATCTAGTATATGCTTAATATGAGGTATTTATAGATTGTGTAACACGAATTAGCAAATTTCAAAATAATGATAAGCATGAGTTCCTAAATGAATCAAATGCTCAGCTTCATGAAATGATTTTGTAGGCTATAGCTTGCTAGCACTGCCAAAAGGCTGCTTCTTTTCTCAAAGGCATCACAAACTCTCACATGATCCCTTTCCAGCAGAAAATTATAAGATTTGCTTGCACATAAGGAAGGGTCACTATGCAATTTCCTTTTACTATAATTTAAAATCCCGCAAATATAATTTCTCATCCTACTCTAGGGAACATAACAGTTTTGGCAAAATCCAAAGAAAAGGTAGAGCTGAAAAAAAAAACAAAAAACTCCCCCCCCATTAATATCTGCAAAGAATTTTAATGTTTTCTCCTCAAGAGACGATAACTATCACCAGACCAGTTTGAGATATTTGTTTTTTAATTAAAGAAACAAAATTATGCAAATAAATGCCCCAAGAGTATTTTAGGTCTAAATGGTTAATTGACATTCTTCCCAAACTTACATGTTCAACTTTAGAATCATACCTTCCATAGATTAAATTTTCTTTGCTTGTTTACTGAAGCATGAGAATTACATATTTATCTTAAAGATCAATTTATCAGTATGCATAGAATTTAGTAATACTGATTCATAAGAAGCTTTCGCTTACATTCACAAACTTAAATGTAAGTCTGTTACCTATTTTTGAGTGTCTGTCCTGAAAGACCTAAATACTATGTTTCAAAAACACTTTAGAAACAATCAGAAACTCTTCATTCTAAATTATTTCCAAATAATTACTCAAAAGTCATCTAGTTATCCTAGGATAGGCTGGTGTAACACTATTTTTAGTAAAAATATCACTGCGGTGACTATAACAGTCAGTTCTCCTGGGCAAGAGGGAATTGGTTATCTGGCAGAAACTGCATATTCAGAAGGTTAAAACAGAGAGAATGTATAATCCAGTAAATATGGCCAAATATCAAGCTGCAGGACAGGCTGTCCTGTTCATATTTCTTGTACTTCTTAAAGGAACAAGGAAGGTCACGTAACAAAGTCAGATATTTGTGGATGTATATATGCTGGGCATCTTGTGTATTTCAAATGCAGAGGAAAGCTTTAGAAAGTGCTGGTGCAGCTCATCCTGTTTAAGACATGTATATGCTGCTGTCCACTAGTTCGGCATCCAAAAGCTCCGAATGCCTTTTCTCTGAAGTTATGTTTGTTAGAATAACTTGTCCAACACTCATGCTGCAGGGCACTGAAGTAGTTCTGTTTGCTAGGGCTGCAGCAGTTTCTGAAAAAAATCATCTTGCATTTTCCCCCAATGTACACTACATACAAAGCAGAAAAATGTGATCTGTGTCCAGCTGGTGGGAAGAAAGAACTCTATGGTACTCCCTCCTGTCCTGGTCTCTTCAGCAGTTAAAAACGGGAACACAATGCAACTCCATTCCTACGTATTTGTGAGTTTCCTCCTAAAAGAATCAGGAAAACAAAAAGGATTGCTGTATGGTTAGGTCTCAACACAATGAAGAAACTAAAGCACCAAGAAACTAAAACTGAAAGCATGTCACAGAACAGACTTCTCTGGTACCATAATTGTGAATATCAGATGAGCACATGGTCAGCTTGCTTGCTTTAGGATCGTCTAAATCCATGCCTATTTTGCACACATTCCTAAAGTAGGAATGATGTTCATTATACGTAGCTTTTTGCTTTATAATGATGCTGGTGGCATCTGCAATAATTAAATCATTAGTCATACCTGCCCACATTTGCTTAAAATAGCAGATGAAGTGGGCTTCTGGCAAGTAGGCTAGGCAGTAATCTCGCATTAATCTGTGAGACCTTTCAGGTACCGTAAGTTTTTCTGCAGTGGCTTACACACAGTATGCAAGAAAAGCAGCAACATTTCTAGCTATTCCATCCAGAACTGTTCTGTGGAAGAATGAACTGCTAATGACACATATTATCTTTATTTGTACTTTAACTCATGCTTATTCTAACTCTTGTGATTTGCTTTCTTTGTTGCATCTCCTGCCAGGAATACTACTTCAGATTACCTGAGGGTTCTCCTTGCTCAGTAATTTTTACAGTAGTTTGAGCTATTTTGGTAGACCTTTAGACCTTGTTTACAATATTCAATCTTTCAAGTAGAACCCAAACTTTGCAAAAATATGCTTCAGAGCTGCAGCTTAGGAGAACATAAAACTACCATAAGCCCATATGTGAGAACTGAGAGCCAAGCCAACAATAATGACAAAGAGGTTCACATTAATATGATGCCAATATTTTTCTTGATGCAATCACATATAACCTCTGGATCCTAGAATTATGTTCCATTTCCGTTATTCCTGCTTTACATCTTTGTATGGGACAGTTAGTCAATGGCCTATAAACTATTAAAATGATGGATAGTCAAACATTTGGGAAATGGATGGCATCTCATGCTACACAGTAAAGATGACTGATCTTTCTGCAAGGTTTCAGGAGTTCCCAAGTCCTTTTGGACCTAATTTGGACTCTTTAATCAGTGAAGGTATGATATTAAAATTCTGGACTTCTGCTTCCTTTTTGAATCCCTTTTTGCTTCAGATTAATGTGGGGCAGGAGGAGCACTGCCTACAATATCAAAGATACATTTTCCCCCAAACCCACCTCAACCTATACATCAACATCTTCGATTATGTTCTCTTTCTTTTCTAAAAAATCCTAAGAGTCCATGTGGTTTTTTGGGGCTGTGGCTGAACTCTGAACTGACCTTTTTGCAGGAAATATTTTCTCCCGTTTGTGTTTCAGGGTGACAAAGCCCATTTCACCCTGACCACAAGTGCATCGTACAGAGCACTGCAAAACAGGAGAGTGGGAAAGGGCAATATATACCTCAGGATGGGCAGCTATTTTATCTTCAAGAAGAAAAATCACTGTTTCAAAATCCTTCCCTCAAGGGAGAAACCATGTCTTTGTTCTCCTGGATAGAGGAAAAACAGTGGTGGCCTACAAGCCTTGCTCAAAGGCCACTCTCCCCTCCAAAGACTCCCTCTGCAATGCTGTGTCTGACCACGGTCACAATCTCTCCTCACCCACTCCAGTGAAAACGTGGACCCACTCTGCTGTTTAGTTATGGCATTCTGTGGTGTTCCATGACACAGTTTCAGAAATGCAAGATAAAATACTCAGAGCTTCCTTTTCATGTCTCCTTCCTTTGCAGCATGTTTGCTTTAGTAGCAGGCAGAGTACAGAAGGATGGCAGATCAGATAGGAGAGCCAGGTGATCCCCTGGCTGATGAGGGGGTTTGCATTGTCACTGCAGGCACCAGAGAGCAACTGAATGCCTGGCATTTGAGAAAGAAGCCTGACTCTTATTTCCTTTCCTTGCATTTGAAGGAACTTCACAGTATTTGACAGGTCTTAAAACTGTGCATATCTGCTGCCATGTAAGAGGCTTGCCTCTAATTTAGAAAGGTACAGTAGATAAATATTACCTCAGTAGGTTTACTAAAAGTCTTTCTTAAATCAACAGCTATGCAGTGTAGTTAGAACTATATGCATGCAGAGCAATTTTAGGCTTTTTGACATCTTCACAAAGCCAGTGGTGGATACCCGTTTTCAGACTCTGAGAATGATTACATGATATCTTGGCAGGCCAAGATGACAGTATGCAGCTGGTAAGCTGTTTCTAGCTGTCATAATAGGTAGTGTTTGAAAAGGAAAAAACAAAGGCTTGCTTTAATGAGGCCTACAGCAGCAGCAAACTGAAGTTATAAACACATTTGCTGCTATTTTGAAATTTCAGTGAACTTTTTTCTTACTTCACATTCCTTTTTTAAACACATTTTGCTGTCTGCCTTTATAACTTCAGCCACTGCTGTGTGCCGTCTTGTGTAAAAGTTGCTGGGAGAGATTTAAGAGTTATTTTTTGTTTGTTTGTTTTTGGGGTGTTCTTTTTTATCTCTATCCCATGTCTCCTTTGAATTTTTCCCTGAAGAAAGAAACTGTTTCCTCTAAATACAGCCATTTGGTTGAGTGTAAAAGTGTTAATTGGGGCATTTATTTACTCTGTCGAATTAAATTCCACAGTGATTCTACACAGAGCTTCAGCAAATCCAGTATTTTTTCTTCTGAAAGCCTATGCAGGTGGCGTCAGTACTGGATATTCTGTTTACAAATCATTAATGAAGTGATTGTGGCTTTTTTCATTTGCTCACACTTTTGAACTGCTCAGAGCGACACATTCCTAAATAGGGAACACAAGAGTAGAGAGAAGCACACAATAGCCTTATTATGGGGGCCACACAAACACTGGTAGTGCTGAGGGTTTATATTAACCCAATCAATTAAAGATGTACGGAAAGAGTTCAGCTAGTAGGGGACTGGGAAAAAACGGTACACAGCAATGAGTTGCTAGGCATGCTAATCTGGACTCCGAAATTCTCGCTTAGCGCTATATCTGAGCTTTCTTCCTGCACAATAAAAGGTCCCTTTCAAAGCTGAGAGTCCTTAGCAGTGCAACCATTGGAAGTCACTGCATTCTCTGAATGAAATAAATGCCTTGCTTTAATTTCTATAAGGCTTGTGTAAATTTCCTTCAGTACTAAACCATTAGAATTCTGAAAGAAAAATGCATATATTAGGCTATACTGTATCCCTATTGTGCACTAAACATCAACTCATGCTACTGATATGGAGTTTAAAAGCTTAAATAAAGTGTGGAGCTCCTGCTGGGCAAACAAGCCGAACTGGCCCAATGAAGCAACCTTTTTGTTAAGAATTCTCATTTGAATAAACAGCATGGTAGAACTGCTGAATGCAGATGGCTTAAGTGTTAGGGTCCTTCTAGAAGAAATAAGTCTTAGTAGTTTTACACTTTCATGAACCAAATCATATTTTATGAAGGACAAGTACCCCAGTTTCTCACAGACTGCATGCTAGAAATGAAAGGAGTTAGTAGTTAACTGGTTTATTTTGAAGTCTGCATCAAGGCAAAACAAATACATGGATTTTATTCTGTAATTCTCCTGTGTATGTTTGTCTATGCAAACACACATACAGACACATGCAAGACATAGCTCTAAAAGCTGTGTAAGTTCTCCAAGAAGTAAATTAAAGCCCTGTGCTTAGGTTTAGCATTATTTTTGTGTTCTACTCTTACCTGTGATACTTTTTAACTGGACACAGCATCGAGAGCTATGAAAGACTGCACAGCACAAAGTCTGTTTTGGTATAGATGCTCTGCTTCAACTTTTACTGCATTCTCTATCATTTGATAGGTAGATATTTTCCCTCCTGTCAGCAGAATGCTGGTCCTGTTTGCCTCCTTCCTCTGTGAAAGTGAGCAGGTGGTGGGAAACTCTACTGATCATGCAAAGTGCTCACAGTGCCATCTCAAATGAAATATAACAACAGAGAGATAGTAACATTAATTTGGGATACTATTTAATGGGATGCCATTGTGCAAATGAAAGTGAGAGCTGACTGCACTCAGCTGTCCAATAGATACTCCATTCTCACCATCTTTTATAGGAGAGGAATAAGCTATTAACTTTTGTGTGAAGCATCAGTCAGCTATTCTATAGGCTTTCCCCCCATATTGTAAGAACTGCTTTGGTTTTAATTATTATTGTCGGATATCTAATAGACAAATATGAAAGACTAGGGAGTGGGGAAACAATAAAAATATCTGTCAAAAACTTGTCTTTGAAAGGGTCTGCTGAATATAGGAAATGTATTAGTAAAAAAAATTACATTTGTCAAAAGTTGGGGAGAAGAGAGGGAAGTCTGTCAAGAGTCAATCAGGTAATCTGACTACATTTATATGAGAAAATAATTTTTAGTAATCAACATTTGTAAAACCAGACATTTGTACATTGGAAGAGAAGAATGGGCACTGTGCACTAAAACTCTTAAGACAGACCTTTACTCTAGCTGTTTTGTTACCATTTGGTCCCACAAAGGTGAGGTAAATTTTTACTGTGTTGCAATATCATTAGTTTATATTTAATTATTATTTTTCTTCTGTTCCCATAGCACTTTAAAGAGTTCTGTAGGTCTATGTATTTGAACCTGTTGTGGTTTAATCGCAGTCCGCAACCAAGTAACACGCGGCCTCTCATTCACTCCCCCACCAGTGGGACTGGGGAGAAAATCGGAAGGGTAGAAGTTAGAAAACTTGTGGATTGAGATAAAGACAGTTTAATAGGGAAATCAAAAGCCACACACATGAAAAACGAAACAAAGAATTAATTTTCTACTTCCGACGGGCAGACAGGTGTTCAGTTATCTCCTGTCCTCAGGAAAGTAAGGCTTCATTACTGGCGATTGATGTCATGGTGACCTGGAAAGACATATGTCATCACTCCAAATGTCCCCCCCTTCCTCCTTCTTCCCCTCATCTACATACTAACCATGATCACATAAGCTATGGAAGAACCCTTTGGTCAGTAGCAGTCAGCTGGAGGCTTTCCATTAGACCAGGGAATAAACCACATTAAACTGTGTTGCGCATTACTGTGATTAAAAACACTTACTTTATTACTCATGGTAGACCAGTTTTAATAGCAGATAAAGTTAATCTAATGACATTTAGCCAGCAAAGCTCTCTAAATCCACCATCTTCCATCAACTTGTTTTAAAATTTGGCATGAAGTTACAGGATTGCTCCTCATCACTCCTCTCACTGCTTTTGCCACTGTCTGCTGTTGCCTGCAAGGTCTGCTAATTGCTTGTAGGCAACAGCCTCTTCATACTTCACATCTCTCAACAGCCTCCATTACACTTGCCTGGTGAAAGAACATCGCTAGAGCCAGAGCAGCTGGCTGGCCAACTTGGTGAGGTGGGCTTTGAACTGAAGGATTTGGAGAGCAGGGTCTAAAGTGACAATGCTCACACCAGTTCAACCAACTGGGGAAAAAGCCAGGCTAACCAGAGCAGCAACAAATGTGCTGTTATTCACAGGAATAACTGAAACACGGTGTCACAACCCACATGGCTCGAAGGATCATGATGGATGGCTACAGGCCTTTTGTAAAGACAGGGAATAAGAAAAGTTGCACTCTATATTAAGGAGAGTGCTGATTGTATAGTAGTGAACTATGGTTCACTTCTGTTGATCTCACTGGAGTCACAATCAACACCACCTTAAGTCTGAATCCATTCAAAATAAGCATAATGACTTAACTCTAATAACATCCTGAGACATTTCAAGTAATTCAAAGAAATCTGATAAATGGCTTAAATAAGGTCAAAGTTTCTGATACTAAGAATAATTAGGGGGAAAAGAGCAGATACTCAGTACATCACTCATCAAAAAACCTAGGGAGAAGGAAGCAGAGTTTGATTTTGAGGCTTAAGATGGGCTCCTGGCATGTTCTGTGTTCTAAGAGATGCTTTGATTGGACTGAGCCATCCAGAAGGTCCTATGTGACATGCCCTGGAGCTTTGAAATGCTAGACATCTCCTTTTATGTGAAAATTATGATTCTGCTGTCATCCTTTCCCATTATATATCTTTTTCCTATTCTTCTTCCTGACCTCTATTTTTTTTTCTTTCTGCTCTCTAAGTACATCCCTGTCTTCTGATACTACCATGACCAAAAGGATACTGAAGTAGTCTGGCCCAGTAAACAGAGAAGGAAGCTTTCAGATGTCAGTGTCTCAAGGAATGAAATACAAAATGCCACTCGGGAGACAAAGGTCATCTTTTGGAAGGTTTCCCATACTGATATATACAGCCAGAGAACTGTGTAACAGTAAAATTCTTAGGCAAGGCAAATGTTTTTCTCTCTGGTAAGAATTATTCACTGTTTGTTGCCTGTGTCTAGAGGGATATAAATTCCTTGTTGTTGTGCACAATTCTGTATTCCTCACCACTAAACAACACCTCACATTTCTAATTCTTTCCCTGTTGCCCTCTTAAGCATGGCTGCTACCCCTTTCCATCAGGATCTTCACTGATACATAATGCTAAAACATTTATCCAACAGAAACTATATGCAAAGTAGAATAAATTTCAACAATTGTTTAATAATACTAGATTTTACATAGCCCTTTGATATAAAAGGGTATCAATGCACAACAGAACTTGAGAAAAGTAAAGTACTATTCCAATGTTGCTTAATAACTGAAGAAAAAGAGAAAGGTTTAATCTTAAATATTATAACAAGCAGAAAATGAAAAATGTTCTGAAAATGCACTACCAGTTACTAATTATTATATATATAAAACCATTCTGAAGCAAGGGTTCACTTACAGACTTCCATGCCAACTTATTCTGGAATAAATTTTGGAAAGTGACACCAAAATAACTGATAATCAAAGTCATCTGACAAGTAGCCAGGACTGTTGTGAGTAGGGTCACACATAAAAACAAAAAAATGAAACACTTCACAAGTCTGGCACTTTTACTATTACATTTGCAAAAAGCCTCTTCAAAATAACTCCCTGCTTCTTCCAAATCATAAAGAGTTTTAACATGAGAAAGAATGGAGTATCTGATCTTTCCACAATCATTACCACGAAGACATTATGCTGTATGATTTGCACTGAGATCCAGCAGGGACTCATTACAAATATTTAAAAAAGGCAAAACTTAAGAGTCTGTGAAAACTCTGACTTGTTCTTGAGACTGTGGACAATTTGAGGACATTCATATGATAAAGAAAGAGGATATCATTCTTTCATCTGCAAATGAAATAAAACACCTCCTTCAGTAATGATGTCAGTCTACCAGCAAGATAACAGAGAATCTGTTGACAAATTAAAGGCAGTTTGGAGATAAGCACGAAAATGTGGGGAGACAAAGACAACCTATGTCTAATAAAAGTTTTCGTATTGTGGAAATTCAGGTTAAAATGGTAAGTTAAAACTGCATTGCTTAGATTGAAAATTGACAAAGAAATATTCAAATCATTGATTTACTGAAAAATAATTACTTTGAGTTATTAAAATGTGTTGCAGCACAAAAGCATGGATTTGTTCCAGTGCAGCAGAAAAATTATGTCTGGAAAAGACCAAAAATAACTTTCCTAGCTCTGTTTGGTTTCATGATGTGAGGTAGGGAAGCTCATTGAACTTCCCTTCCGAATGAAGAGACCAAAGAAATTAACAGGTACAGGTGGAAGTTCAGTAGTGTGACAGTGACACAGAAAATGGCAATTTATCTGGACACATGATTTTTTCTTGAATCCTAATAACAACTTGCATTAGTAATGAAATTTTGTCAAAGGAGTCTAAGGAAGGATTAAACCAATTAATTAATTAAATAACAGGGATCAAAACCTAAATTATTTTTAATAAGAAACTTTTCTTCTGGCAGCTATGTTAATTCATATGTTGAGCAGAAGAGGAAATTCAAGAGACCCTTGGAATACTTCATCCAATGAGAAGACTTGAAGCTGGATGAGAAACAGTTCATTAAGTATTAAAACTTAAGTCAGTCTCTCAGCCAACCTGGCAGAAGCCCCATTATTTGACATACATGCAACTTAGTTTCACCAAGATCTCAGATCTGCGAAGTAAGCTATCCGACTTTCTGATGCACCACTTTGCCAAAACAGGGACCTACCCTTAAAAGTTACTTCATATATTTAGCCTTGAAACTTGTCAGGTAAAAATGAAGTGGCCTTTAATATACAACTTGCTCTGGCTGACGTGTGTTGCCTGGTATGAAATCAAGGGGTTCACTTTCCACCACTTCTTTTCTGTTTCTGAAAATTCTGTCACTTGTTACCAAGCATCCCATAACTGTGTTTGTAACAAAGATTACACTGATATTTCTGTCCAGCTACATGTCCTGCAGGGCTGTTCTCCAGTCTTCCGATCAGTAAAAATGTAATAACATTTTCACATAGTCAATATTTAATTCTGTAAATGCAACTGGTAGTTGTAATCTAGGTTATTAACCACACAGTGATTTATGAGGGAGAGCAGACAGAGGAGGGTTGCAGAGCACTAGGAAGGTCCTCTGGTGACAATAAAAAAGTTATAAATTTCATAGCTCTGCCTGAGAAATGTATTTATATCCTATATTAAGAATAGCTTTTTATAAATTTTAATGGTCCATGTTATTAATGGTGCTGTCATCATTACTGCCTGTGCAAGACTGCAGTCTTTTTTTCCTTCTTATACTTTTCCATCAGCTGAAGGTCTTATAGTTTTTAAAAAGCTCTTACTAGCAGTTTGCCAAAAAACCTTTAAGAGTTATAAGTCTATCTTTGTTCCATTGGACTGCAAAGACTGCAAGGAATATTTTGCATAAAATTTTACGGCCAAGGTAAAGTTTGGGCTAATTGGGCAGAAAACA